AAATTCAACGGAATTTTGTGATAATTTTAAATTTCGACGAAATCAAAAGTTAAATAATTGGAACAAACATGTTTTCATAAATATGTCTATTGTCGTTTCTTTATTTGTCGTTTTGAATGTCGTATGATTTGTATTATGTTCTGAAATATATTGTTGATATAGATTTGGTGTATTTGTGTAAACATATGCACTTCACGTAATTCGAAATAAAAAAAAATGTTTAAAGATAATAAAAAATGAATATATAAAGGTGAATGTGTTAAAAAACATAATATTTGGATTAAAAAATAACACAAATATTGTATCAAGAATTATCACTAAAATATGAATATCGCTATTTTGAAGCAAATTTTATATAAAATGGACATTTATAGTGCTAAATGTAACACAGAGAAACGTTATTTTCACAGTAAAAAAATATTGTATTTTTCTCTATTTTTTTGCTTGCGCATTGTTTTTAAAGTGCTTCTAAAGTATTTCCAATAATTTTACTTAAAAATTGTTTTAATTATACGCCCCTTTATTGATTCAAATGATATCATATTTAAAAAACTTGCTTGCCAAAGATTGGATTAAACTTTGGAACTTTCTGCTTCTTGAGCCATTTGCCTTGTCTACTACATCACTTCTAATCTGATTGCAAATACCCTTTACATTGTACGTATCATAATATGGCGCGAAAACAATATTTTTCAATAAAATTAACATCCGTAAATAAATAAATATAAATTACATATAGTAACACATTAACTAAATTTAAAAAAAATGAAATAAAAGAGTGAAGGAAATTATATGTGTAAAGGACGGGGTCCGCAGTGCTTTTATATCGCACATAAAGATTCGTTTTATCATTTATGGTCCGCGTGGCCGGAAAAGTCGGGCGAGTGCTTGTCGCCGCTCGATTTACGCATCGAGTCGAGTGTTTATTCGTTCGCAAAATATCCGCGAATAATGCAATGCGTGCGCGACCGAATTCACCGATGAGTGGTATTTATAGGAATATCGTCGAAAAATTCGCGGATTATATTTTAACGCTGTATAATCCGATTTGCTTTTTGTTTCTGAAAAAAATGACAAGCAGAAAATGTCGAACATCGATCGTGTGGGATGTAAATGAATATAGTCAAAATTTAACCTGTGAATATTTGATTACCTCAACCTTTCCCTATAAAACAAGGTTTGTTCTTTGCTTCTGAAAAAATAACGAAACAAAAAAATATCAAACATTGATCGTGGGATATAAATAAATATGGATTTAATCTATAAATATTTCATTATTTTTAAACTCGTATGGGAATACGCTTTAAATTTTAATGCCTACGACATTGTACAATAATAACGTATAATATACATACATATATATATATATATATATATATATATATATATATAAATTATATTTAATAACATTTTTTTGTATGTATATATATAATGGGTTTATATGATATTTTAATTATTTCTAATCAAGATCCGTGTTTAGACTCTTAAAATATTTATTAATATATAATAATAATATGTAATTTCTCTATTTATTTTGATATAGTATTGTTAGCATTATCATTATTTGTTACACAATATGAGAGCTGCAAATTGCGGCAAGACTTACTTATCACTCTTTTTCGCGTTGAATTTTTATTCACGACGAAGTAATCGTCGAAGAACGCACTCGTTATTTATCGTGCATCGTTATTTATCGCCGTGATTTCCTTTTGATCGTCACCATTCGGAAAGACAATTATTGTTCCATTGTGAGCCTCTTCTTTTGTCTCCCCGTTCATCCCGTAATTGTTCCCGGACACGTTTCTTTTCGGACGCACCCGTAAATTAATTTCTCTTCGTCTCATTATTACGCGATAATCACCATGTCGTCTGTTAAACTGCAATTAAGGTCGCACACTACTTTTTTGTACTTTCGCAGTTTTCCCCTTTCTTCTATTTTTTTAGCATTGTATTTGCGAACGACGCGAATTAATACCTCGCATTAATAAATTACCTCGGAGACCGAGGCGCACAGGAAATCCAGGGGAACCTCGCAGATAGACAATGACATGCGTAACACGTGTCAATTATTTATAATAACGATAGAACGTCAGTTTGTCATGTAACATCGTTGAACGTGATTTGCACGATTGTCGACAATGGTAGTGAATGCATATTTAATTGGTCTACTATTACGGACTTTCAGAGAAAAAATAAAAAAGTATATATTTATAATCTAAAAAATATATCATCTAAATAATATATAAATATATATAAATAATAATATATAAATTTGGTCTAAAAAATAAGAAAATATTTATTTGGTATGGATATTAACATATTTACTCTTAAATCTATGTTCTATGATTTAAACAGAAGAAACAATTATGCTTTATTCACGAAAAGCTAAAGTTTTGAGAAAATGTATATTTTCTCACTTAGAAAATATTCCATTTATTATATAATTATTAATATATATTCAATGTAGGTATAACAATATAAATATATTATTAATATATTTATATTTTTATACTCACATTGAATAAATATTACTTACTCCTTAGATATTTTTTCTCCCTCAGAGTGTGAATAAATGCAAAGGCAAACCTTAAAAGCCGAAGTGAATTAAGTGAGCGAAGTAAGAAAAAAAAAGTTAAAAAGCATATATAAAAAATGCGAAAGAGCGGACAGAGGTATGAATAAATACGACAATGTGGTAATAAATGCGAGGGTAACAATTCATCCTCGGACGACCGTCGCCGGAGGTCCGCATAATACCGTTCATCGCGATGCTATCGTCGCGCAGGTGAAGAGCGGACACTCTCGGGAAGAGGATCGATTTGTTCGCGATCTATTTAAAGGAACGGGACGGTCGAGAAACAATCTCGCCGCCACATAACTGTCACCATCGTCCGCCGCTGCCGAATGCGACGGCTGGAAAACGCGCGTCGCGTGATCTCGAGCCACAAAGCCGACGTGTGCCAGAGATACCGGGCCGCTTTGTACAGCTCGCGAGCGACCAAGAGTACCCGGCAGATAATGGAGTACCCCTTTATCGGCGTTGCGCGACGTCTCGATGCCAATTTTTGCTCGAAAAATCGTGACGCGAGGAACCCCAGAGCCTCTCGCGTGCGAAACCGCCGACGACGCGACGAGATAATCGCCGACGTTTCAATCTTCACGCGCCGAAACCGAAGTTTCCCTCTATAAGAATTTGTCTTACAAGTTCCCCCCTTCCCTCTTTTTCTCTATTTCTCCTCCTGTTATTTTGCAGATGAAAGATAAATACATCAGAGTGGAGAATAGTTATAACTAACTGATATATTAAAATGGCATAAATAATAACATAGTTAATTATTTATTTGCAGCAATCAACCTGCGTTATAGCTTGCATGGATTATTAATATTTTATTAATCAGCTTATTAATTTTCATTATTAATATTTTCATTAATATGTGATTATTAATATTGGGAATCTAAGAATTATTAATTAATGACAGATTAATTGTGGATTTAAGGGTGTATATAATCACTGCAAAAGTCACTAGAAATTAGAAATACATTAATATTTCTATTTTTCGCTTAAAAACCTGTGATTTATATACGATATACAGTTCAGTAACAATATATACAAGTTCGATAAGATCGAATTTACTTATTCATTAATAGGGAATAGTCCTTTAAGAAAAAATTCGAGTAAAAAGTCGAACTTCTCAATTGCGATCGCACATTTTTATTTTTTATGTGTAAACTCAACCTGTGAAACAACGCGGAGTAAAAAAGTTCTCACCAAAATTATCCCTTCAAGATGTCTGTTCCTCTCATGAACATTTTGAGGAAGTTTCATCCAAATGACGCCGCGGGTTAAAATCACGTCTCAACTACATATTACAAAGGGAGAATCTGGACAGCGACTGCTTCCGGCACGGTGATTTTCAGCGACACACGTCATTTCGAAAGTTCCCGCAGTCGCACGATTATTCTGAGTGAGTGTGTGTGTGTGTGTGTGTGTGTGTGTGCGCTGCGAGTTGCTAAAGACACTCCACACGCGTTCACGTGTTTACCCGAAAACGGGAGGGAGCCAAAAATGCGCGTTTTAGCTGCGTGGCAGAACGGTAACGAGAATCTACAGCCCGTTTAATTAATGCGAGAGGTATTGATTTATGGCCGTCGATTGGTTATCACGCGATGCCGTTAAAATTAGTAAAAAACTATCCCCGAGGTCTCTCTGAAAGTTTCACGGCGCTGCGCACTGCCGCGGCTGTATTGTCGGAATAAATCACGTTCATTTTGACAGCAGACGCAAATAACTCTGTCTACCTGCGTCGTATTCATCATCATTCGTACTATTCACGCTTGCATGGCAATTTGTCGTTTCGACATTGTCGGCGAAAATCCACCGTTTTAGCGCGCGATGATTTCGTCGCCTCTATCTCCCATTCTTTCTCTCTCTCTCTCTCTTTCCTTCGAAAACGTAAAGTTCAGATTACTCGATTAAACACATTGAGTAACCTCATTTACGTCATTTTTACTCTTTCCACGTGGAACATGCTTATTTATTTAAATTCACGCTCGGAAAGGGCATAAAGAAGTACATTGGAATACGATTTACACGTACTTTGCAAACTGCTTTTTAAGGAGTCTCGTTATCACAAAGTAAGGTCACATCAGGTCTCTGATCGAAAACGCGCACGTACGGCTCGCGAAAGCACAACGTCTGGAATACGTGACACCGACGTGCGAAGGGTTGAAAGAGATAATTCTCGACAGAGAACCGTCTCGCATTTCGCGCGTTTGTATGGAAATTCCTATACGTCGTGACACCGTCAATATCGGCTTATTTTATATCTAGTTGTTCCTACGCTTCTTTCTCTCTCTCTCTCTCTCTCTCTCTCTCTCTCTCTCTCTCTCGTTACTTTTTTGTATTTATTCGTTTAACGTTTATTCTGCATATTTGTGCTTGGATATGTTCCAAGTTGAAATTTTGGTTTCACACTAATCCTGCACTGAGAGAAAAAATATTTTCGATTCAACTAAAATTATAATTATTTCTAGCTCCTTATTTGGTTGTCCCAATACAAAAATGGCAGTAATAACATGCACATGAAGTTGTTAACATTACATTAGAACTTAATTGGAAAAAATTTTTTTTTATAACGATATATTACTGTGCGACATTTCAATTTCAACGCTCGCGATTTTTCTTTATTGCACTTTTGTTTCATTTTGTGTTTCATTATTTATTTTTGTACACTCCCGCGTGGACACAATCAATTACATCACGTGGAATCGTCCAGTCGTGGAGATACGGTGGTCTTCCTTCTCGAGTTTTAATCGTTAATAATGGCGTGATGTGCGAACGGCGACTAGTGCTAACTGGAAGACAGAGAGACAGGGACACATACACAAACACCTCGCCACAGAATTAAATCAAACCGAATGAGTAATTTCGTCGCACGACAACACAATGAAGCTAATTCCGTCCGCGATCGAAGCGCTACGTCGTCGACTCGTTTCCCGACTCGGCTCCGACAAGCGAACTCGAGATAATTGCACAGCTACGCGTTTGCCGATTAGTCAAAATTAATTCATTAACCATTTGAATTAATTACAACAGACGCCAATGAACGTCGGCTCCAATTCGAGCATTTCGCGCTTCGCTACGTGACTCGACATTTCGCGGGCGCGCTTAATCCGTTAAAATATCACAGAGTCATTTTCAATTATCAAGGGCTCGCGAAAGTTCGATCGGATCGTCGATGATTCACGTTTGAGACGCGGAGTAAGGCAATTGTCCGAAAGGTGGCGGTAAATAACAATGACTAAATACACAACGATCGACAGCGATCGAACTGATACACTGAAAAAAGTCTGATAATAGTTAATGCATTTAATAAATGCGTCAGTCTAATCTAGTGGAAAGTATTACTAAACAGTATGGTTTCATTTAACAAATTGCTTGCTGATACGTGCCACATAATAGTTACCAAGCAAATAACAAACATCAAACTTTGCTAAGATTATTTACCGATACTTAACAAATTAAGGTCCCTGAGAGTAATATGGCCAGGTTTTTAATATGGCCAATTAACTGTAAAAGACGTAATTTGCACGGAAAAATTCAAATCAATGTTCTTCTTTACATGTTACTAGAACACCTGACACAATTGCCGTTCTGAAATATCGCGTGCAGCTCTCATTCGGTGGAGTCTATGTGTTTGACGACAAACGCTTCGTACTGCGCTGCGGTGAGATTGTTATTGTTCTCATGTTTATTAATTTATAATATTAGTTGAATAATTGCTTAATATGCAGTTCTCTATGCTGATTTTAATAACGATATCGAAATTTAGTTTACTTTAACCAGTAATGTAATATTAAGAACATTTTTATAAAATGACACGTGTTGCTAATGACACTCTTGGCCATATTACCAATCTATAAGTGCCCTAACTTGTAATGTTATATATGATTGAGCATATTATCAAAATATTTTTACTTTTCTACTTTTAAATATGAATCCTGATTCTCCAAAAGAGAAGCGTGGTAAATAGATACAAAAAAATCTGTCTTACACAGTATTTTTTTTATAACGTGTTTTTTAAAATAAATATTACTTCTTTTGTTACTCTTTTATTACTTCCATTACAAATAGCATTAATTATGATTAATGGTTGAAAAATTCAATTTTAAAGAAAAGAAAAAATGGCCATATTACCTTCATATATTTTTAATGTGGCCAAAACGCCGATTTTTTAAAATAAGTTATTTTCTTATGATTTTAATTGAATGTTCTTTCCTGATTTTTTTCTTAATTGCCAAAGGTCCAAAGTAAATTGTAGCGCAAGCGGATTTTGAAAGTTCCATAAAATAACTGGAGAATTTTTTAAACCCTAGTATATTATTCTAAGGAACTTTATTTGATTATATTCACTTATATGTTAAGTTGAAACTATTTCACCAAAATATTTAGTAACTATTATCCAGACTAGATAAATATTATCAACTTTCTTTTCAATGTAACAATGCTTTGATTGGGCTTAGTAATATCCCGATAAACACAAAGTATCATCGACATTACAATGTCAGCTCAATCATATGGTATATTACGTAATTGTTACTTTGTTATCCAAGTTACATAATATACTATATAATTGAGCTGACATTGTAATATGAACGATACTTTGTATTTATTGTAATCAATCCCGAATAACCGGTCGCGCGCGCGACCGTCGAACTGTCAATAAAAGAGCCAGATAAAAAAATTCGACCAACAACTTCCGCAAGCCCCTGCAGATGATTAAACGTACGCGCCGCGACGAAAAATACAGCAATAGTCGAAGAAGCGAAGAGAAAAAAGGGAGACTTACGAAATGCGAAATAAATTCGGCGTTCGCCTAAAAGTCGGCGTTTGCGAAAGCGTCGGCCTTTGCGAAAGCGTCGGCCAGAGCGTCCGCGTCGGCATTAGCCAGAGCCTTGGCGAAAGCATTGGCTAGAGCAGCAGGTTGGCCTTTAGCCATAGCGTCGGCCCAGGCGAAGGGGTCGGCGTCGGCCCAGGCGTCAGGGTCAGCCATCGGGTAGGTCCAAGCGAGCTGCCCTACGAGGGCCACTACGAGCAAAGCGACGAGGGTTTTCATGATGACACGTGCCCGTCGCTCTGGCGCGTCTCTTTATACCCGCCGCGACCGGCCATTTGCGCTCGATAAAAAACGCCATTGTCACGCGTCACGTAGATAAGAAATCGCACGGGGCAGTTAAACGGGGAAGCTGATACGCTTTTATTGCCGCGGCGTCGCGAAGCCCGACTCGAATTCGGCTGACTTGGCGCGAACTGCGATTAACTCTTTCACGATAAAATGATTTTAATTAATTTGGTTTAAATGATTGAATTGATTTAAATGATTTTAATATTTTAATATATTATTATACACGACAATGAAATGTGTTATTGACAATTACTAACGTGTTTATCAATACGTTATTTCTAGAACAGATGCTCATTAACCCGGGAGTGGGCGCGTATCGGTCATTTCCCCGTACTTTTTCGTTTTCTACTTATATCATCTGATCTATTGACATTATCGTATTTTCGCTTTTACGTAAATTTTCTTTGATGTTTTCTCGTATAGCATGGAGAAGTGGACGGCGCAGCGCGCTTATTTTTATGTAAAATTTAGCAGTCGGTCTAAAAGACCATAGCGCGCCTACTAATGTTAGTCTTTTATCTCTGCCGCGTCAGCGTCACTCGATGTGCCGCCGAACGTCTATTGTCTTTCCGACGTCGTATTTGGACGGACGGTTCTCTCTTTTTTTGTTAAATTAATAAAATTTTCAACAGCACGCGTAATTGGAATATATATTCTTGATTCAGCGATATTATTAAAATTAATACTTGAATTATTGAAACAATACATAATGTGATAATTTTAATATTGCCATTAAATCAAGAAGATTTATTCTCTATTACTAAATTTATCAAATAAATTTTTAAGTTTATTAATACAATGTTTAAGTTAATCAAAGTAAAACGAGAGAAACAAAAAATTCCTATTTTATTTTATTTAACTAAAAGAATGTCATTTTTTACTAATGCAGTTAAAATAAAAATATGATGTTTTATTCACATATGTATAATAAGTTTAATATGTTTCCTAAACATATTAGATATAGAAATGGTAAAGAGAAAAAAAGATGAGAAAAAGAAGGAATAGTGAGATATAATAAAATTATTTCCTTTAATTATTATGTTTCTTTTAATAATTTGATTGGTAATTTATTAATTATTACACATGTATGTGCTTAAATATATTTCGGTCGAAATGACCAATACACGCCCACTAACGTTGGTTATTTTAACGCGCCCATTCCCGAGTTAAAAAAGGACTTATGAAAAGAGCTTATTAAAAATGCTTATGAGGAAAGAATAATTGAAAATTTATTTGCGAGAGAGAGATATACATATAAAGCTTATTTGCACAGAGTGTTAGATTTTATTTCGTGGAAATAAACTTTATGTCCCATAGATAAATGTTCAAGTATTCTTTTCTTAGCGCGAGAAACGATATATTTAAACCATTACGTCCAAAGAGAACCGTGTGATTCATTGACATTTTTTCAGTTGTAAAAAATAATACGTCGCTACATTTTCTAACATTTTTCTCTCCTTTATCTGAAGTGATTGTTCAAAATTGTATTATTTTCTTAGAGAGATTGGTAAATTGTCGCACGGTCTTGCCGTACTTGCAAACAATGAAACGTTATAGCCGTTGTAGCCAATTGGAATTTTTATCACGGCGCAATTTTACGCACGGAAATCATGCGTCACGATCACGAGTTTTATGCGATCCTCTCTTCTTTTTCCACTAGGCGATAAAAAATATGCTTTTCCGCGATAGATATGCACTTTTATTATTCCGAGTATTGTGCTCTTGCTTCCCGTTCCAAGAAAAAAAAAATAAAAAGAAAAAGCGCGTCATTTCGGTGGGGAAATTGCGACATTTAGAAAACCGCGGAAGGAGACGCTGAATCATTTCAGTAGTGTTAATTCGCAGTCACGAGTGTGTTTTGCAACCGACCATCCGCCCACATCAAGCAACGAAGTCGGCTTGAATTCCCTCGCGCGGGATGATCTCGCGTTTCGCCAATTTCGAGGTTTTCCGCGAGAGTCGGAGCGCGCATAATTCCATTAAAATATAATCAGGGAGTTTAGTATGCATCCTCACAGCCAAATAGGACACAGACAAAATCGGGAAATACAAATCACATGTCGAAACGCCGCGAAATGCGGCCAATTGGAACATATGTACTCATTACGCGCCGCACGCCTAACAATTAGATGATCATAATGAACGAGTAGTGAGTAGAGTTGTCTGTGAATAGCTTTACGATTCAAAGACGAGTGTAGGTGAAGTGCCATAGAATTAATATGCGGCTAAATTATTAAACACATGTACACAACCGACATGATAGTCTTTGCACTTACTAAGCCCTCTGGAATTTTTCAATCACACACACTGAGACAAAAATATTTGAAAATTTATTTGTGGAATATAAAGTTTACTTCACAGAAACAAATCTTATTTTCCTGGAAGTATTTTTGTCTCATAGAAACGAACTTTATATCCTTCAAATAAATTGTCAAATATTTTTTCTCAGTGCGCTGAGAAAGAAATTCCCGAAAATTCATTTGTGAGGGACGTAAAATTTACTTCTGTAAAATAAAATTTACTTCTACGACAAAGTTTATTTCCGCGAAAAATAAACTTTTTTTTATCCTTTATAACTCTGTGAAATGAATATTTCTACGAAATAAAAAGTTCTTTTTTTTTGCGAAATAAACTTTTATTCCACAAATAAATTTTCAAGTATTTCTTTTTCAATGCAATAATGATTTTCCAATAGTATATTTCAAATATTGAGCCTTGAGAAAAGGACCAAACAGAATTTACAGACGCACCGCGTTTCATCTCTCTAAAGATGCGAGTTGAATTTGATGGTCTTCAGCTCTTTGAAAACTAAATACGTCGATGCTTTGATTCGCAATGAACGAGCAATCAAAGCTTCGTGAAATTCGTCATTAAAAAAATCGTACTTATTTAACAATGACCCAAGCACGTGAATGGCAATCCGCGAATACGAATCCGTCATTATATATTTCTCAATAAATCACTGACATTCAACAATAATTTCATTTCAATTACGTCTCGATTTTGACATTTTCATCTTGCGACTCTCCCTCCCTCTCAGACACCGAGATTTTATTATGCTTCGATATCCACGACATTTTAATTATCGAGAAAGTTGAGAGATAAAAAAACAAAAAAGAAAAGAGGGAAAAATAAGACACGAGATCGGAGATGATGGCGTTCGATTAGAGTTCGCCGCAGGAAAGACCGTTCCAATTTTTGACAACGGCGAGAGCGATATCGTAACCCGGCTCGTTCCCTGAACATTCCGGGCCTAGAGGGTGAGACTGGGACTTAACCTGGATGTGTATCGACTAAATATCCGGTGGTGGACGTTTTAGCGTACACACACGCATACATGCAAGGCTAGAACAACCTTCGAAACTCTCGTGGAGGCAGAGTACAGATTGAGATAAAAATAAAAGTACCGTTTTGTGATATTCACAATAATCGAATATTAATTAAAGAAAATTTGTGAGTAATCACGCGAGATATGGTAGATGAGCTGTAGTGTGACGTCTGCCATCGTGTGCTTGTATTTTGATTCAAACTGAACAAAAAAGCTCTATTTTCCGTTTTCCTAAGAAATATTCCTAAGAAACTTTATAGACTTTTAATTATTAATTAGAGAAAATTGTCGCTCACGATAATATAATAATGTTATCTAATTAATAACTAAAAACCTATAAGTTATCAAGAAGTTATCTATAAGTTATCTATAAGTTATCAAGAAAAGGGTAAAGGATTTTCTGTTTAGTTTGACCTACTGTGCCTCCACGAGAGCTTTGAAGGTCGTCCTGGGACACCCTGTATATATATAATTTCGCGTAAGAGTTCTTTCCCCTCCAATCACCTGCCTACTCTCTCGTGGGCGCGTGTAGATACGGGGAAAAACTTTTCGTCTTTCACGCGATCGTCAAAATTGGATCGGAACTTCTTATTTACGCGGACGTGAAACTCGCGCTTTTTTCATGGATCCGTCTCGCGACGACGACGAGGAGCCGAGTCGAGCCGATTCTCCTCCTCCTCGTACCGATCGAAGCCTGGATTTAGCGGTGTGACACGCAACGCGAACGACAAACAACGAGAATGATTTGCGTGAAAGGAACGAGGAATTTATCGGCAGGGTGAAGTTATGAGCAATCACGCCTGCTCTTGCGTGGATGTATTTAATTATTTTAATTACGATAATAATAATAATAACCATGATTTTTATGCATGGCGCGGTAAATAATGTGTGATTATATGAATGCGACGTCAGCAGAAGTTAATTATGCCGGTGAAGTTATATTTGCACGATATATTGCGATCTTAATGAAAACGGTCGTGCGTAAATGTTGGGTTGTGCAATGAATAATTTCGAATTTTCCCGACAGAAGGAAACAATTGTATTTTCAGGTTGTTTCGCGAAACAATACACGTGGCGCTTTGATCTACGATTTTTCGCCATTTTTGGCGTGTACATTGCTTCGTACACGGTAAAAAATGTTTTGTATTCGCATTGAAATCGATTCGCATAGAAGTTCTTATGTAAATTTTTAACATACTCGTGTGTCAATTTAACATACTGTCGTTGTATTATTCTAATTATTCTTTTTGTTGAGTTAATATTTACTATTACTAAGTGTTAAGATAACGCAGTAGTGCCTGACTGTTGCATCTTTGTTGTTAACTTTCGACACATTATTTGTGTTATTCGTTCACATACTTGCATTGTGTTAAATTAACACAAGAATTACAGTGGAAGTTGAAACACGTTAAATCTGTTAAATTTACTAGAAAATTGTTTGCAGTTTAAATTTACAATGGCATAAAATTTTGAAACGAAGGTGGAATAAAGAGGAGAAGAAAAAGGAGGAGTAAAAGTTTATTTTTTGCTCCTTTCTACTTACATTTATGTGATATTACTTATGTAATATTTAGTATTTGATATTAATTTGTTCTTTACAAAACTAATTGTATTATCTTTC